TAAAACAATTAAAATTCCTTCAAATATGGGACCGCACACATTTGACAGGTTTTCAATATCAGTTCTATTTTAAAATATATACAATATATAGAGATGTGAAATCAGAACTTTATTTTCTTTATATGTTTTTAAAAGCAGTTTACCAACATTAAAAATCTTTATTTTTTTTTTTTTATAAATATTCCTAAAATTGTAATTTTTAGTCTAGTGGGTGTTTATGTCTAATAGGGCCAATTTAAAACCGTCCAGTCTGGCCAGAAAGAGGAACCTCAGAGACTGAGTCTGATCGCAGAGCGAGGTCAGAATGGGCTGAGGTGCACAGAGGACAGTGGCCACAACATGTTTGGAGGTTATAGCTGTTGAATCAGCAGATAGCTGAGTTCCAGCATCTTCCAAACTGTCTGCAGCCTTCTGATTGGCTCGATAACAGTGCATAGAGACTTGAATTTTATGAGTTTCAATAGTCAAGAACCTTCATCAGACCTTAGACCACCTAGTGCAAAGCATTGCAGGCCTCGGTGCTCAGCTCTGACTTTTTACACAAATCTATTCTTTAATTGTTTTTTTGTTTTTACTGTCCGACCAAAAAGTAACCTGCTTGTGCAAAAGGATGATGTAAAAGTCAGAAAAATTGAGACATGATGGTTCTGACTGCAGACGCTTTGAAAACTATTAGATATACATCCAATTTATTGACACATGGAAGCAGCACAATTATGGTCAATGAATGGTTTGGTTCTTTCCAAGATAAAATATAAAAAAGAACAATTTAGATTTAAATATATTTGATAATTTCTCAATTTCTATCTTTCTATCTCTTTCTATCTTAAATCTTTGATCCTAAATGATTAAATCTTGTCAAGTGAAAGTATCTTTCTGCACAGACAGAAAACATTACTTGTTTTGAGCACCTTTCCCCTCAGATTGAGTGTTTTTATCATGTGTTTAGACACCATTTTATGTAGAGTTAAAGAAGAGAATTGTGCTGTTCAGACTGCCATTTAAAAAGTTGCATACTGGATGAAACACAAAAAGATCTGGGCAGTATTTGCCTTCTGTGTGAGCACAAAGGTTTCAGCATACCGAGACATTTGGGACGATGTCATTCAGCTGTGTGCTAAACAAGCTTCATATGGGATGTTGCTCAAATTTAGGCATATGAAGGCAAGTGACCTAAAACTTCTGGCAATAACCGTTTGACATCTGAAGTTTCTGTTTTAAGTGTCCAGAACCTTTGGTGTAACTGTAGGACAAATATCCCAAGACACATGGGCTCCTTTCTGATAAATGGGGAAGACAAAAGAACATACCCTTCCTGCAAACCAAAGACATGCTTCATAAGTGAGAAAATGTCCAGTCACCTGAGCCTCCTCATATTAACAGCCAGAGCAGTATTCAAGAAGTTGAATTCAATGGGATCTTTGCAGAAAATGGCTGGTAAAGGACCCAAGTGCAAATAACTATGTAGAACTTTATACCACAATTGAAACAGACAGCATTGATAATAGGACAGATTGTCAGTTTGGATTCAGGCTTGTTAAATTGATATTTTCTTTTGCTAAAAACTAAGGTATGTTGTTCAAATAATCAAATAATCAGTGAGTGGGTGCTGGTAAAAATTCAAAGGTAATTCCTGCAGTTATTTCAACTACTCACATGTAGAAACATGTTAAAACTGGAATGAATGCAGATGAATGAGCGAGCAGAGTTGGTGTAAAAGTAAAACTGATGCAAAATGTTCAAGGTTTATTGTTTGAAATGAGTTCTGTGTGTTTGACAGAGCCGAGTGTTTTTAGTGAACTGATTTGTGAACTGGACATCAGGATGAAAGCTGGGCCCACTCCTGAGTCCGCAGCCACCTTTCTTCAGGGAACCTATTTGATTTGCAGACCCAAAGCATGCTGGGTATCTGGGAAGCTTAAGAACTGATCTGTGGTTAAAGACAGGCATGCAGAGCAGTTGAGAAAAAAAGGAAAAACTGTTAAATGCAAACTGTGTATTTAAGAACTTTACCATGAGCGTCAAAGAATTCTTCGTCCGAGCTGTCATCCGAGTCCCGCGCTATGCTCTGCATCCTCCATTCTGAGATGCTGTGACGCGATGGGCTCACTGTTAAACGAGAAGAAACAAAAGGGCTCACTGTTATTAGGAGACATTTTTATTTTTCCAGCTTCTTTTTAAACAAATACACGACCAATAAGGCAACCCCACATCACCAATCTCATGCACAAACATGGTGTTATATAAACATGCAACAGTCTCTGCGGTGCGCTAATGGGCTGCATAATGGTCAGGGGTGATGTGTGAAAAGTGAGACCCAACGCCGCCCAAACTCCCAAAACCTAAGGCTCCAGAGGAGGAGCGTGTTGCGCGCTAAGAGTCGGTCCCGTCTGTCACATGTCTATAACCGACACCTCGTGTGTGATTAAGGCAGCGGAGGAGAGAGGGGTAGGGGCACAGCTGTGGCTGTCAGGACACACAGACAAAACAGCAGATGGGGGAGGGATGTGGGGGATCTGTGATGTCAGCACTGCTGCTAAAAATAGCTCCATGGAGGACCACGAGGGGTGGTGGTGGAGAGGTTGTTCCAGAGGGTGAAATGAGGTGGGCAGGAAGAAACCAGGGGTCCATGAGGATGCTGCAGCGAACACCATCTTAAAGGAAGGATGGTACATGGGCGTGCTAGGACATGTGATCTGTGATGTCAGAGGTGATTCTATAAATAGACCCAGCTATGAAAAAAAACTGCTGAAGCTAGACACTCGTACAAGGGTGAGAGTACGGAAAAGCACTGTGGATAAAAGTAAAAAGATCTAACTGACTATACTGCCACGTGAGCACGACTGTCTGTGTGCTACTATACCTCTGACCAAGTTATTTAAAGGTTTTTATATGTTGTCTGCTCCTAAATCTGCCTGCATAGTAAGCAGGTCCAAGGGTTACGCTGGGGTTACACAGTTATAAAGCAGCTTCCCTCCATAGTTAAGACACCTGTGTTAAAACATGTCAATAACATCATACACAAAATGTCCCAATTAAAAATCAGAAAAAAAGGGTCAATTATGCGGTGAAATTGACAGTACTAAAGATTTTGCATTAAAATCTGAATTATTATATAAGATGGATAAAATAGGAAGGTTATTTAACTGAATCAAGAGCTGCCTTGATAACCGGGTTATAGCTGATAGATTTGATTAAACAAGTATAAAATATGCAAAACGGATCCAATTATATTGTAAGGTTAAGATGGTGATGTGTCAGAAGTGCTACATAACCGCACTAAAGTTTAAGTTGAACTGAACCGTGAAAAACGAGGCTGGACCCAAGGAGCAGAGTTTATCTTGGCATCACAAGATAAACTCTGCAGGACAGAAATAAAAAGGAGGACAGAAATAAAAAAATGAGGATCTCCAAAAACGTTAGAGATCTGCTAAATTTATACGGTAAAATATACTGCTGCAATAAAAAGCTAATTTCACTTCATTACTTTTTCCACGTCTTTACTCTCCTCAATTATTATAAGAAATCTACAAGCTAAAGGGAAGACACTGGCTTGGTTCAATGAGGTGTAAATGTACAGGACCTATAATATTTTGTAGGTTTGGTATAATTTCATTAGTATTTGCGTGAATCATTTTATTAAAAGAGCATAACATTTGGTATTTAGGATTTGTAATATCTTATTTAAAGAAAAAAAAAAAACATGAACTGATCTATCCAGTGAGTCTTTGGAGAATTTGTCACCAAGGCTGCCAGCAGGTTCATGTTTCTGAGCTTCTACTTTATTTAATCCAAGTCAGACAGGAGGAGGCAGCAGCACCCATGGAGTGGCGTCTCCACCTGCACACTATCTGGTCTATAAACCTGGATCCTGGAAAAATCCAGTTTAAAGTTTAAGCTACCCGGAAAAACACACAAAGGATTAAAGTTATAGGTCTGTGGCTCTTAGGAAAGAACAAAGTGTATCTAATAAATTTGCCCAACTGATTTGGAAACTTACTGGGTTCTTTCTTTCTATTTTAGCTGTTTTTATTATTTTATTTATTTATTTTATTATTATCATTTTGGATTTTTGTTTTAATCCTCCTCTTGTTTTAACTCACGTTATATGTAACATTGGAACATCCCATTTAGAGAAATGTATAAATTCTCTCTTTGTGTAAAAATGTAATACTTATGCTTGCTCTATAGCTTAAACTTGGTCATAAGTTTGAGACTCTTTAACTTAAAACAACTGTATTAAGGTATATCAAGATGGCACTTGATATACTTTCTTATCCCATGTAGGTTCTGACGGTGAAGACTGATTTGCTTTATGACTGACTCGTGGTACAGATGAGAACTGTGAGAAGAAGGAAGAAAGGGAAAACATGCAATAGTTGATCTGTGTTGGACAGAGGAGACCACATGTTGAGGACGCCGTTCACCTCCTCTCTTGGATGAGCGGGAGGACCTGGATGAGGTGGACCACTGCTTGGTGAGCACACCTCGTGGCTGCAGAGTCTCTACTGATCTAGTGACTGTTTCGTCAGCCTCAATGGAGCTAATTGCTTCTTTGGCCTCCTGCTCTTTGTCTGGAGATGGAGCACTGCCATTGGCTTCTGTCGCCTCCTCCACCTGGCAGTATTGGGCCATCTTCGTGGCTAAGGCTAGCTGGGTTTCCAGCTCCAGCTGCCGGATGTTCTCAATGGTTAGACCGTACCACTCATCCTGCCAGCACCAGGCCTGCCGGTGGGCACGCACCATGACCTTTCTCAGCCCTAAAGAAAAATAACAAGCAGTCAAATGGCTAACAGACTTTGAAAAAAAAAAAAAAAAAAGAACAACATGAAAATCCACAAATCCAGATCTGCTCACCAACATCATGAATGAAGCGTTCAATCTTGGACTGCATGCCCCAGTATCGAAACTCCACTTTGCAAAGTTTGTAGGCACACATGATGGGAGTCTTCCCTGGGTTGTTGTTGTATTCCTCTATCCAGTCATCCTGCAGGGGCCCCCTCTGGGTCTTCTCCGACTTGTAAAGCCTCGGGTCCTCCTCTGCCTTGTACTCATGTGGGGGGATGGGATCTGTCACTATGTCGATCGGGTCTGCCAAAAAAAAAATCGGGTTTCAGGCAGCAGTAACAGATGGAGCCAGCTGTTTGGAATAACGATGGTTTTGTAATCATGTCATAATGGGCACAAGAGGAGCGGCGGAGCAGAACATGTAAAAGCCCGTGTTTAACAGGTTTACATTCTTTTTAAAACCAACCCAGACTGTTTACTGGATGGGTTACATAAGAGAGACCAACTGACAAAGTCATTCCAAACAACTGCAGATGGATCATTGCAAGCTTTTTTTGTTTGTTTTCTATAGTAGTGTGCAAAAGGTTGAACTTTTAATCCAAAATAATGGTGGATGGAAAACAATGGCCACTTACAGATAATCTTTTGGACAAATTGCATTGTTTTTATTCCTAGAGCATTTATTTTTTATTAAAAAAAATAATAATAAAATAAAACTCAAGTTCAGCTTCTCTGAAATTTACATACAGATTCTTTATAAAGAAGTGCTATGTTATAGACCAGATGAGTGTGGACTTGGGACCATTTGCAGCACCTGAAGTATATTTTGTGGCCCCTGACCATAGCTGAAGAATATTACAAATTTAGCCTCCCAGCAAATGGAAACTTTGTAAAATCTCACCCTAAAAAATGAACAATGACAAATGTTTATGTTATTGAACTGAAATTGTTACGTACATCTAAAAGTACTACTTATTCTGCTTAGAAGTATTTTTGTTATTATTTGCTTTTATTGCTTTCTTTATTTTCCAAATCAAGTAAGTGGGGCCAAAGTATCCAAAGAGAACTTAGCACCCCCATTCATTACATGTGTCTGAATACAACTGGGCTTTTGCAAAATAAAAATAAAAAATAAGAAACATTTTTTGTTGCTGGTAATAGAATAACATCCATTTGTTGACCAACAAAATAGAAAAAAAAAACTGAATCAAAAAGTAAGAAGCTGTACATATTTCTTAGACCCTTTTTCCAGATCTACAGTACAACAATTTATTCTTTTCTTCTTTGTTTTTATTTGAATATTGCATATTAATTTATACCCTAACTTAAAAAAAGAAAGTAATTGACTCTAACTTTATGATAGATCTTGAGTACTTAAACTAGGTGATTTTGGTCTGTAGATCAAAACGGTCAGACACCACTAGCCTAAACAGCTATGGAGAAGAATGCTGACTTGATGGTCATCCAGCAGGCACTCATTAAGACACATTGCTGACTGCTGAGGGTGTTCTATTGAAGCATATTAACAAAAAATTTGTGGTAGGAAAAAGTTTAGTAGGTCAAAAAGCAAAAGGAAAAACAAAAGGACTGACTTTTCTTTCAAATCCTCTCAAAGTTGTAGTTAACCTAAACAATTAGCTGAATTTGCTTGGCCATCTTCACCCAAATTATCAGAAAAAACTTGAAAAAATATATAAGGGGCAATAAATCAACATGAGTTTAATTTCTTAAATAAAAATACAAAAAAAATAAAATAATTATTAAGCTGCACCTACATGTTATTGTGTATTTAGGGTTAAGGAATCTTACCGATAGTTCTTTGCCTCTTGTCGGCGGCTGATAAGTTAAAGACGTCTGCTTGGTCGCCTGTGTCGGGCTTGTAGTAGGTCTCAATGTCAATAGAGAACTTCTCAACAAAAGGACAGGTGTATCTGCAAGAGATCACCAGAAAAAATGAACCATAATAGACACGACTTACATCATGTATCCATTAATATATTAACTCTCATATGAAAGTAGATCGGTCTCAATTTTCACAAGCATACATATGTGATTCATACATGAACAGGACAAGATCCACGCATGCACAGAATGATTCACACAAGCACAAAAAAATCCACACAGACAAAGGACAAGATTCACAGACACATAGCAAGTTTGACACAACCACACAAGATCCACACATGCACAGAACAAGATTGACCAAAGTATTTCTGGTCTATAAATAATTATGCATTAATTAAAAAGAACCAGTGGTCTTTGAACTTCATTGTATTTGTATGTGGATTTTTGAGGCTCCCTTGACGTGCCTCGATACACAAACGCATTTTAACGTGAATCGTGCTGTGCTTCTGTGGATCTAGTTCTTTGTGTGTCTGGATTTGTTTGTACTTGTATGAATCGTGCTTTGCATGCATGGATCTTGTCCTGTTTATGTATGAATCACATATGTGTATTTGTGAAAATGGAGACCGATCTAGCTCCATACTCTCACTCTGAATGGCACAAGGTTATAAAAAGAGAGATGGAACATCCTCAATGATAAAGATAAAAATGGCAAGAGCCATGATCCACAGCTGTGCCTGGATTCTGCAGTAAAACAGTCTCTATTTAAACAGAAATGACAGCATCCTATTTTAGCATCTTTATCAGAGAAAAACAGATGAATAGAGTGACAATGGGGGTCATGCGAGCTAGACACTGGTTGTGCAGCTCCTTTAGCATGCTAGGTAATGCTGAGGTCTGTAGCCTCATTTGGATTTCAGAAAAACAGATCACCCTGAATCAAATTTCTTTTCTTTTTAGTTACACTGCCCTGTGCAACATCCAATAACATTTGAGCACCAGTTGCAGACCCTTAAATATACCCATATCATTACTTTATCAAACTGCTACTTTGTGCTTTGCAGAGGGGCTCTATTTCGAGCTAAAAAAAAAAAAACTATGACTGCTGCTTTGTTGAGAGAATGCAAACCTTGTTCGGGTGTAAGGGTAGGCATTCCAGGACTCCTCTTCGACCCTCAATGCTGCTTTGGGCAGGATGGAGCGGAACCAGCTGGGAATGTGCATGCCGATGTGGTAGACCTTGTGCGTATACTGACCCGCCCCACCTGGTCCATCTGTGTAGGGCTTATTCTCCAGGATCTCCACCCCACTTCCTTCCCCACAGGTCTCTTCTCTGCTCTTTTTCTGCAAGTAAAACAAAGAAGAAAAAACTAAAGCAAAAGCTTTTATATTTACGACATATAGAAGCACAGTGTGAAGGTGTTTTAAACCTTATGTAGCAGAGTCAATTCTTTCTACCACTCTTAATGAGACAGTTCATCTTTTTCTCAATCTAAATTAAATGGAATTTAGAAATAAATCTAAATCTCTTTAATATGCAAAAGTAATCCCTCAGTGGAAAGAAAATATTTATATCTCTAAACATGTTTTAAAGCTTTACTAAGACTGATTTATAGATATTAAAACTGTTGAAACACAGAGTGATCTGCCACAATAGCCAACATATTTCATCACAGATGGACTGAGTCATCTATAACAGAGCCTAGTCTGACAAAACAATTAATTGCTTCCTGAAAGCTAAGCATCTTCTGAGTGCGTGGAGCCACACCTTCCCCATGTTTACATTCCAGGTGCAGAGCGAGGGAGCTGGGTGGAGACAGGAGGTGCAGTTGCTCAGACTTACAGCTAGGTGAGACAAAGTTTCACAATCAAAGTGATCACAGAGAAGAGCGGGAGGCATGGCCAGAGCAAGGACTGGGGATTGTTGGGAAATCAGTGAAACAGGAAATTTGAACAGCTGAGCAGAGTCCAAGTGCTGACGACAATAAGGGGGGAAAAAAAGCTGTAGAGGATCATAAATGTCAAAGTTTCGAAGTGTATCTGTTTTCTGCAGATCTAGCAAAAATGGGCCGTTTTATTCAGTCCATTTGCTTGATAAGGGAGGAAGGTTTCTCTGGTTTGCCACTGAATCAGTGGAGCAGCATGGAGGAAGTCATGCGGCATCCAGCACTCTGGACCTCATTACCTCTGACAGGTCCTTCATTAGCCACTCGCCCTGCTCTCAACAGCTCAGATGCAGTTAAAAAGACACAGCACAGACGCCCCGGCATTATCAAACCAGCCCCACAAAGCATGAATCCAAGCCCACTTTATCTGAGATCCGCAATGACAGAGTAAATATATGCTCAGAGACACAGGAGGAGATCTACTGGACCTTTAGATGCCATCAGAATTTTATGTTTAATTCAATTTAAACACAACGATCAGTAGAAAAGTCCCCGTAAAGTAAATAAAACCAGATCCAACTGCTTCTTTATAATTTACATACAGTTACATCTCGTATCTTTTCATCCATATTTATATTTCCACTTAATGTTGTTCTTCACCCGGATATAAAGGCCAGAGTGTCGAATTAATTTGATCACTCAAGTTATTTCAAGTTCTGCTTCATGAAATGAAATGTTGATCAATTTCCACTTCGTCTCTTCTTCATTAAGGAGGTAGATAAGATGTTAAAAGCCAATATCAGTACTGATAAACATAGAAATTATTTTGTTTGCAGAATATTTCAATGTTTAGATACTACTTCGCTGACAGGATGGGAGTCACATCCTGGTTTCTTTCTTGGTGCTGTCGACTCACTGGGCCTTGTTTCCTGTCAGAGATGCACTTAACTCCAAAGATACACAGAAGCTGCACAGCCGTATGGTTCGGCTCGAACAGAGGAGCAACAGCAGAACAGTCTAACATTTCATCCTCACTTGATGCATTTTCTTTGCTCATTACTGCAAATCCCTGCAGAGTAATGAAGAAATGATCGCTTGGCTATCAAATTAGAAGGTGGCAGTAGGGCAACGGAAATAAGCGGAGATAGAGTGGGCGTGCTGAGCGAGACATGGCTAAGATGTCCTAAGGCCCTGTCTTCCATCCATGAGGCCTGTTGTGGATTGGCGTCAGGCGGGCCTATGTGTGGCTGCTGCCCTGGTAACCTGCAGCAGTGCAACTCGGGCATACTGGCGTCTCTCGCCAATCCTTCCTCAGAGCCACATTTTTTTTTTATTCCACATTTCCTCTTTTCATTCACTCTCTCATGAGCAAAAACCTGACCACCGGCATGCGGGCTGATGTGTGACGGCATGGTTGCCATGGTGAGAGAAGCCTTACAGCAAAGAAGCTGTGTAGAGATGGTGAGGTCAGTGATAAAGGTAACTATGGGTCAATAATGCAACACTCCTAGAGTGCTGGTGGATGCCTGAGAAACTCAATGTTATATTTCTGCCACGTTGGTCGTGTCCAGCTGTCAGTAGAGATCTGTCTGGGAAAAAAGCGGATCAGAACTAAAATGTTTCGTAGGGCTGATACTTCACAATTAGTCTAAGGCTATCAAAAAAGTACTGGAGGAATAAGAGTGTGCTGTTTAAACTTATATAAAACGTTCTTTTTATGTTTGTCCGGGTAGAAAAACACTTAAGTCAACTTCTGCAGGACTGTAAACGGTGCTTTATGTTGACTAAAGGAGGAAGTTCAGGTTGATTTACTTAATGCTATAGTTTCTCCTGCAAGCTCGTTTTTCCTTCATAAAAACATATTGCTCATTCATGTGAGCTTCCTGACTGTTATCACCAGATTAAACACAACGTCTATCTATCATGCATAAGACTGGACAAACAATATAACCCAGTCAACCCTAAAACAAAATGATAGTGTAAAAGGATATCTTCTTGTATGCATGTATTCAGGGTTTATAAGGAGTACTGAGAACATTTTCTATCACAGCCTGAGACATAATGTCACTTCCGTATACTCTCAGTATTTCACTGTTCATGCTGCCCACAGCATAACCTGCTTCTTACATAAATATATCCTCATTTGCACCAGCCACAGGAAGGGAAATTTGTTGTTATACCATTAACAGCTTTATATTATATATTCTCTTTTTCATTTTCACCACAGAACTCTGTGTACATTAATAGGAATTTAGGTCATGCATTAACACAAAGCAGTAAATAATGGAAATAGATCTGTAATCTACCTTGCAAGTCTGTCTTTTCTACAGCTGCATTCAGTCTCTCAACATCTAGAGGTTTTTTCACATTCTCAGTAGAAAATGGCCCAACTTAGTCGAATCAGATTGTAAAAGCTGTGTACAGCTGTTGTTCGGAACAGATTCCTCTTTTCGGTTTAGGTCTGGGGATTAACAGGCCATTCTAACATATGGTCTTAAACCATTTCATTTGTATGGTTAAGGTAATTGCTGATAAACTGGCTTTGATCTAAACTCCTTTAGGTTTTCTTTCATAACTGCCCTGCATTTAGCTCTTTCCATCAAGCAATCAGCTCTCAGCAACTTTCCTTCTTCCCCAAAGCATCACTTCACCACTCTTTGGTGAAGTGATGCTGTCCTCATCTGACCGTATTCCACATATAGAAAAGAACCGCTTTGGATCTCTGCAGCTCCTCCGGAGTCATACCCCCGAATTTTCTTTTTCAGTTGATGGAGTTAACAGTGCTCTGTGAGACGTCTGTACAACCCTCTACCGGAACCATTTCTGTGTCCCTTGACCCTAATAATGTTTCAAGAATAACCTATGCTTGTATGGGAACTAAACTGCACATTAGCTGCTTTTAACTTGCAAATGAGGTGACATCAGGTGACATCTGAAGGAAAACTGGCAGTCATTTCTATTTTAAGGGATAGAATAGTGATAAAACCTGCATTAAATCAGGTATTCTTTCCTTGGCACAATTCTTTGAGCCAATTTATAGCAGGAAATCTTGATAAAACCCCCCAAAATGTGAATGAATCTAAGGCGTTTGAATACTTTTGTAAAGCAGTGCAGCTTTGCATCAGACTGACCTGAACTTGGATTATCCAGAATCCTAAAAGCACTCTTTGTTCCTTTGCTTTTTCCATGGCACACACAACTTGCAATCAATCATTTTGCAATTTGTTGTGGAAAAAAAATATCTCCCCTGCTTATCTTCGCCTCGTCTGCTCCTTATAGCTCCTCGGTTTTTGTTTTTTTTCTATTTTCTCACCCCTGGTGGTTGGTTGGTGTGTGTTAGTGTGAGTGTAGGTGAAAATTAGGTGGGCCATGTGTTGTGCTGTTATCTCACCTGGATCATGTAGAGCTGGGCAATGCGGTACTCCTCCACACTCATGGGCATGGGGATGCGATACTCTTTAATGAGCATGGTGGAATCTTGGGGAAAAGGGGACGAGGAGGGATAAAAATGACCAGGAAACAGGGGTGGGGATGGGGAGGGAGGGAGGGGTGGAGGGAAGGGATGGGGAGAAGGGAAAAGGAGAGATTCTGGATGCTCCTATATGAGGCTCTTCAGATCACCGAAGGCTGCATGGAAAGTTCCTGTAGACAGATAAAAAAAATACAAATCAGAAACAAAATAAATATTCTTTCAAGAACTCAACCAAGAATTCCTGTTAAAAGACATCTATCCAGATCCTAACGAGTCTTAAAAAAAAATCCTCTACACGAAAAATAGAAAAAAAAAGAAACCTTCCCAAAGCTCACGCGTTGATGAAGAAAAAAGGAACCAGTATCATTACTCTCTGTTGGGTTGGAATCGGCGGGAAGCTCTGGAATCCGAGACTAGAAACAGCAGCTACCTGGACACAGTTCCCTTCTTATACAGAATCCAAGGCCCAGTCCACCCCAGCCCTCCGGCGCCGTCACATGGGGAGCCTCGCTCGGCAACAGAGGGATTACAGTTTAGTGAGGAACTTTACATAACTTTGCACAACCAAGGTTTCACAAATAGCTCCATCTGAGTTACACAAAGCTTTGTTTTCCAACCACTGGGCAGAAAGAGGTAGGTGTGGGCTATACATGTGCAGCGTGTGGGTGGCGTGAGCTGCAGAAGTCTGCCGTAACCCGTGCAGGAAGACTAGTTCTCTGAAGCACAGCAAGTAAAAATCAAAACGTATCAGCGTGCATCACAATGAAGAGTGTGATGCACGCTGGTTTGTCTTAATCTCCTAAATGTCAACCGGGGTAATTCATTAACCGAAGAGGAGTCAATGTGCCGGCGAACAGCTAGTGAAAGTTCTAAAAAGACATAACATTACATAATAGCACATAAAAAACTGTGTTTGATCCTGAAAGTTTATAGTATGGCATACACAATCATGCAGGGGCCTAAAGATTTCACTCACACACAAACTCCATAAAGATGGGAGGCCGCATCAAGCTATCGTTAAAGATAAAAGCGAATAGAGTTGTGCATGAGTTTATTAATCATAAGCTGAAGGGAAGAAAAAAAAAATGTGTGGTGTGATTGCAGCTGGAGTCAGAACATCCACAGCCACCAGACACAGAGGTATACAGGGCAGTGGGCTTCCTTCATCAGAGCCACTCCTGAGTCTGAGAAACATTTAACCTGGGCTAAGGAGAGAGCAGGAGTGGCAATTTCTCTGTTCACAAGTCTTCATCTAAACTGAAAGTGCATTTTGTATTTTACGAGGAGATCAACGTCCCAGATTCGAGCTGGACAAGCTGAAAGCTGCTTTTTATGTGCTTTTTAAATTAGAATAGTCTCATTTACTGAGAAACTGATTTAGTTGGTTTTTTTTTTTTATTAGCTGTAAGCAATAATCCTCAGAAATAAACGAAAATAAAGGTCTGAATTGCATAATTCCGTTCGTAATGAATCTATGCAATATAAAAACGAATTACCGAAACAAAACAACATTTTATTGGTAGTCAAATTGATCAAGATGTACCTGTACTCTATTAAACAGAAATGCTACAGCATACACTAAAATCCATCCAAGCTTACAGCAAAAGATGAAGCCAATATCGTAACACAGCTTAAATTTGCTTTGAAAACTCTGAGAACACTGCCTTACATAATCACAACATTAACAAATGTCTGACCCATGGCAGCAGCTGGACAAAGCTCTGGGGCTCAGCCATTCTGGGTAATCACTCTAATTGCACTAATATTCCCACTGCGTCACTTTACCCACCAAACAAAGAGCAGCTCCTGATGTGACCAATATTCCTGTTCCTCCTCATGTCCACTTCTGCAACACCTTACTGCAGACAAATCACTCCAAAAACCTGATGTACCACAGTGATCCGGTTAAAAGAGCATTACATTTCCATTGTGCTGCATACTATTCTTCATGTTTGTTTTCTAGGAAGTAACAATGCCACAAGAAAAAAGAAAAAAAAAATCAGAGCAGAGGGCCACGTTTTTCTGAAAATAACTGCACTCTAGGGGAAATGTTTGGAGATAAGTAGGCTAGCTGTAGGGACTCTGAAGAAAAGCCCGTGGCCCGACAGCCTTAAAGGGCTTTAGAAAAGGGAACCAAACTTATTAGAGGAAGGTCACTGCTTAAGCCTCGACATGCTGCTGAAAAAAATGGGTCAACAATCTGAACTCTGATTCAGAAAATTTCCTTTCATGAGAAAGATGAATAAAAAAGGAAAGCGTGCAATAAGAAATGTTAAAAGAACTGCTGACCACAGGAAAAAAAGATGTTTCTAGTCAACAACAGGCAACCACTGAAAAGAAGGTGGACTACTTCAGACAGGTCACCAGTCCAGCTGAGACAAAGCCAGCTCAAACCATCAAACATAAAGACAGACATAACTGGGAGTAACTTAGAAACACCAGCTAACCCAAGATGCATGATGACTGTGCGAGGAAACTGGACTACATTGGAAAAAAATTTGAGGGGAGAAGATGCAAACTACACACAAAAAGACTAATATCAGCATTTGAAAGGATTCCTGCAGATACAAGATTGCAGCAAACTGTGAGAACTCGAAACAATGATGTCTTTAAGAATCCACTCAGTCTCCTGATAGAAACGTATTATTTCAGTTAAACCTAATAAATTTTGACCAATCAACCAATAAATAAATGATTTTTTTGCAACGGCTGAAGAAGCAGATTTATTTGCGTTCTTACAATCCACGTTTGGCTCAGTTTTCTAACTTTGTGAAAGTATCACCAGTCTTTATACAACAGCTTGCAGCTCATATAGTTGTATTTAAGCAGCAGTTATTGTTCAGATTTGTTTAAAAAAATCTCTTTCAATGATTATTTTCAGACTAAAAACATCTCAATGATCCGATTTCCAGGTGCAGATGCTTCTCTCTTGCAGATTGGAATCTGTTCGCTCTCCCACTGTTCTTTTTTGGATTCCGGTACAGATGCTGTCCACAACATTGGACCTGTACTGCTCAATCCACCAGCATCCCCCAGAGAGGACTGGCACCATGGTTGACCCAGAAAAAAAAAAGGCACTCTCACACACAGAGTTTAAAAATAGCTCAGTCACAATAATCCTAGCATACGCAAGCAGAGTGCCTGACGTTAGTTCAGAGAATATGCTCATTCCCGTCTAAAAATACAGCCTCTGCCCCCCCTCCATCAGGCAGTGACGCAACAGCGGCACACGCCAATGCAAGGGGCTCATCACAAAGCAGCCTCCAGTGTTTCAGCTCCGGTTTCAACAAAGCAAAGCTATTGATAACTACAGCATTCCTCCTTAAAAATGAGAACAATCCACTAAGGAATGAAAAGGATTTTTTTTTTCTTTTTGCAAAATCACATTGTTGTGTTTTTACGTTTATGCAGACCTAGGCTCTAAAGATCACGGATAACTTCTTTAAAGGAATTTGTCACGGATCAGAGAAAATCTGCGGACAACATGTCAAATTAAATCAGTGGCAACAGGAAACGTAAGTGACATAAACGCAGGAGAAGCTTCTTTTCCAGGAAACCAAAAAGCTCTATTTTCCAACACGCAAGGCTCTATGCTTTACCACATCAATGTCAAGTTACATTAAAATATCCGTCTGCAACAGCAAAATATGACATAAGATAGAGGACTATATGCACATAAGAGAGGGTGGGCCCCCCAGGGATATGCCATCAAGCGCAGAGCCTAAAATCAGTAGCTTCATGCAGGCTGAATGTTGCAGCTAAGCCTCTTTAAAAAAGTGAAAAACATTAGCCGCTGCAGTGCCTCTATGTTGGACTTAGCCTTCTCAATTCACTGTTGCAAACACAACCTAAGCCATTGACTTGAAAACAAGTCAAAATATGTAAACATTCAAAAATAAGATCTTCCTGCTGAGCTGAATTCAATGTTTGTAAAAATACCTTTCAGGGTTTTCTAAGCTCAAGTTCTGACTTTGTGTTTGAACAAAGAGAAAAATGTCCTCCACATTCTTTGCAAGTAGTAGCTTTAAATCTAAAAGAAAATGAAGGAATTTATTTTGTGTTTGCTTTTTTTGTCACACTGCCACTAACAACTGCTATCATGCAGTGGTGATGACAAGCAGGAAGTCCCGCCCACTCTTCTTTGCAGAATTGTTTCCATTTATTCACAATGGAAGATTTGTGTTTTTAGCATGAAAGATCTGCTTAAAGTTATGTCCTAGTATCTCAATCAGATTAAAAACCCTACTTTGACAAGGTCATTCCATTAATTCCAGTCTAGGTCTTAGTTTATACAAGATATAAACAGTCAAAACAAAAACCAGAATGTTTCTCTAAAATATTTACTTTTAGACAAATTTGAGGTGGACCAAATTTTATTAAAGCCTCTTTTTGTCATCCAAGAGTGACAGTAATTTATTTCAGTAATAGATTTTAACAATGATCACAGTGATACTGGGGTAAATCAACAGATGTCTCTATAGAAATGAGTTTTTTTAAACCCTCTCCAGCAGATGCTGTCGCTCTGCCATCATGTTATCCTGAGCGGAGCTGTCCAAATAGTTAAAAATTTTAGATAAAATTACGTAATTTTGCTGTACAGACCTCACTCACGCATCAAGCATAAATCAGGCCTAACTCTCCTGGTTATACCGTTTTTACTCAGTTTTTTTCCACCATTACTCATGTTTGGAAACTCTGAGAAATGTGAAAGAAAGAACCCCATAAGTTAATCATCTGTTCTTTACTATTCTTTAGAACAGGAAATGCCATGATCAGGGAAAATGTGGTTATTGTTCCCTTAAAGACTTATATTTGTGATTCTTGATATTTTTGTCAGCTTAACATTGTAATTTCTACATTTTTATTCTACGGGTCAGGCAGCAGACAGGCTTTTATTGGAACAAAGCACTAAATACCTTGAATAAAGCCCAAGAATGCCAATTTAAAAAAGACTTGATCAGCTAACATATACAAAAGAAGCAAATTATTTTTCAGTGTTCCTGAACTTTATCTAATATTTAAAACAGGTTGGGGTTTTAGGTTTTGATGCATTAAAAAAATATATTAAAAAATAAAAAATCTCTTATCAACCGAAAAGCTGAGCAAGAGATAACTTGCCAACTTGAACCCCTGAATTATAAAAAGGCATCTTGAGATAAACAGCAAATGT